GTCCACCTCCAGGAGCCGCGAACTCAACAAAACCGGATCAGAAGGCGTCTCCCGCTACTACTGCCGGTGCCAAGAATCCCAAACTCCACTGATCCCTAGCTATTCTTTTTCCAAAAGAAAAAAAAAAAGTCTTATCTAGCCAATAAACAAGCCGCTTTCCCTAGCTCGGGAAGGATCAAACTGAAGAGGGTAGGGGGGGGCCGGGAAACCGGAGGGATGCCAGGCGAGGGTCCGGGGACCCCTGGGCCTGGGTGGGTGCACGCCGCCCCAGTTCTGGACCACAGGCCGCCAGGCTGGGCTGCGAAGCCCGCCAAGTGGAGGGGCCGCCGGTAGCGCCGCGCATCCGGGCGCAGAGGAGGTGGGGCGGCCCCGTTACCTGGAAGATGAAGGCCGCCAAGGCCAGGCTCTCATCTCCTCGGAGCCCCTCCGGCCCGGTACCTCCCCGGACCAAATGCCACCAAAACCCTCCAGAGTCCCCGGTGTGCAGTCCACCCGGAGCGGGGCCGGAGACCCAAGCGCCCAGGCGGGGGTTGGTCCCCAGCTCACAGAGGTTCCCGCAGAAAAAGCTCGGAAAGCAGCCGCCTGGTCCAGAAATGGCGACGCTCCGAGTCTCTGCCTCTCCGCAAAAGGGGCCGGGGAGGAGAGGAGGGTCGCTGGGGACGCGAGAGCCCCGAGCTTGGCCCGGTCCTGCGCGAAGACTGAGCCTCCGTCAGCGCTCCAAGGCACCTAAGCGCGGACCCAGGGAGAGGAGGGGGAGAAGGGGGGGGAGAAGTGGGAGGGAGCAGGGGAAGGGCGGGGGAGGGCAAGCGGGGGCGCCGCCACCCTTTCATCCCACCTTCCGAAGGCACTCCAGCGCACACGCACACCCCACTCAGTCACAGCCACGGCGCCTCGACCCCCTAGGGGGCTCTGCGCGTCTCCGCCCCCGACGCCACTCGGAGAAGTCTCCCCGACTGGCCCCCCGACACCCGGGCCCCGGCGCTGGGGAGGGGACTCGGGCGCACCGCGCGCTGCCCGCCCGGCCAAACCCCCCGGAGCGCTGGGCGCCGCGCCCGCCGCTTCCCCTCCGCGCCAGCCCCGAGCGCGCCCCGAAATAGCCGGCCTGCCAACTTCAAAGGGCCGCCCAACACATCAAAGCGCGCAGGCCGCCGCGGCCTCCGCACTCACCATTGATCCGCTCGCGCACTCCGTGCCGATACCTCGCTGGCGCCCCGGGCAGGGCCCCGGCAGGGTTCCCCGGCTTGACTCGCAGCGGCGGTCCCGGGGTACCCCGGGCCGGCCCGGGCATCGGGGAACATGGGGAGTCGCTCGGAGGAGGGGGGTGCGCGGAACAACGATCCCGGGATGAGAGCTCGCTCTACACCGGGAAGGGGAGCGTGCGCCCCGCCGCCCCTTTTATGCAAAGCTCCGAGTGGCCTCCAACCCCCGCTGCGGCCGCCCCCGGCCGCTCCGGCCCCCGCCCGGCCGCCTTTCAACCCAGGTCCTGTTTCCAGCAGTCACTCGGCGCACCAAATGTCCTCCGGGCGCTTCCAACAAAAACTGCGCTGTGGATTTAACTGTGCACTTCAAAGGCGCGAGCCGAGCACACGGTCCTGGAAGGGAGGTAGGCGCCAGCCGCGCCCGGGCAAGCTCCGCGCAACCCCGCTGCCCTCCGCAGGGCCCCGCGGCCCGTACCCCACTGCGGCCCCGGCCTCCCGCGGCCGGTCCCCTCCCACGGCACAGCGCCCGCCGCCCGGTCCGAGCCTGTGGTCTTTGAAGCGGCTCCGCCTGGGCCTCGCCTCGAGCCCCACCTTTTACAGTCGGGCTCTGGACTGGGGAGGCGGGCGCCTCGGCCTCCGGGCGGCCCCGAAATCCATCGCGATCGGGGGGTTATTTTTATTTCCCGGCTCTCGGGCTGTTACTGAGTTGCCAGGACCTTATCAAAGCGCAGCCGGCTCCAGCCGACTCCCCCGGGCCGGGCTCCGGGAGCCAGTGATCCCGCCGCGCCAATCACAGCGGCGCTCGGCCGGCCCGCACCGCCCACCTTAAAGGGATAGCGCGCGCACCGGGTCCGCCCCGCCCGGGCCCGCCCCCAGCCGCAAGCTTTGCTCGGGCTTTAACCCTTCCCCGGCCCTCCTCCGCCCCCAACCAGCTCTTGGTGGCCCCCGGGCGTTCTCCGCCCGAGTTCTGATTTCATCTTTCAAGTTCTCCAGCCCCTTTGCGCTAGCCTCCTCCCCCTGCCTGCCCTAGCGCTCTCCAGCTCTGGAATGCAACACTTTGTTGTAGCTTTCCGGCCATCTCTAGAACTGCAAGCAAGCACTTTTTTTTTTTTTTTTTTTGGTCTATCATCAAACACGTTTTTTTACCTTTATTCAAGTTTCCGTGAGACTTTGGACTTGGAGGGCTTTATGAAAGGGGGCGTGGCCCTGGGATGGACAGGTCGTGTGTCTTAAGGCATACTCGGAACAGGATCCGGAAAGCATGGCACGTGTGTGTGTGTGTGTGTGTGTGTGTGTGTGTGTGCGCACTTGTACTCAGGTATCTGAGATTGGGTTAATATAGGACGGTTTGAGATTTGGGATATGTGAAGATGGGCATGTGAATTTGTCTCTACAGGCCTGCGTGTAGTCTGAGAGCTTCCCCCAACTTCCCACCCCTGGCCAAAGAACCCTTCTTTCACACACATGGACCGGCTCTTAACTGCATGCCCACCACGCTTTTCCAGAAGGCCCCCATCATCGCATATGTTACACATTAAACAGATGTGGAATGCCTTTTTCCCCTCCACACGCGGTTTTAGTGTATAAAAATTCACCCCATTGTCACCTTTGAATTCCTCCCCACCTTCTCCCAAAAATGTTTGTAGGGCACAATCTTTTCTTCTCCCTTAAGAAAAATATGCCACAAGCCAAGAGCATTTATTTATTCATTTGTTGCTATAGAATGTGCTCTCATGTGTTGAGCTAATAAACTTTTCTTCCTTGAAAAGGATCTGGGGATGGGGTGTAGCCAGTAAAGTCTTTGCCTAGCATGCACACAGCTTGTAGCCCTGGGTTCTGCCCCGAGTACCTCACAAACCTGCACTGAGGAAATACGCCTTGTACTCTAGAGGCAGAAGCAGTAGAATTCAGAAGTTCAAGATCAACATAGCAAGCTTGAGGCCAGCCTGGGCTACATGAGACTGTCTCTAAAATAAAACAACAATAAAACCCAGATCCAAAGGACTCAAGGAGTGAAAAGCAGAGCAGGGCTTTATCAGCAGGGCTTTGGTGCTCAAATGACTCACTTTTTCTTTATTTCAGGTTTAACTTATTAGATGGCAAGACCTCATAAATGAGTGAAGACCTATCATTAAGCCTTTGGAACTTTGAAACAAGTGAGAAACATGACTTTCTAGGTTTCCAAAAGGAAAGAATAAACCCCACCCGTGTCCCACTAGGAAAGGAACTGGGCTGTGCTCCATTCTATCAGCCTATGGGACTTTGGCAAGAGACCAGAGAGCTCTCACAGCCCAAGTCTCCAAACTCAATAGCCTAGACACCAGGGCTGGCAGCAACCTCCCCCCGCCCAAAAGCTTGCCTCTGTGTCCATGGGTAACATACCAGGCTTGTTACCCCAAGGGAGCCAAGCTGCATAAAGTCAGTGGTCCAAGCTATGAAGTGTGGTCCTTCTCAGGAAGACCAGAGAAAGTGTCCCTATGATGTATCTCTATCCTTGTAAGGAAATGGGGTACCTCTAAGGGCCTGGCCTTCCAGAATCCTGCAAAGTAAATGGCCCATGACTGCTCTCAGCCTCTGGATCTGAGCTGCTATGCGGGGAGCCCTAGACCAAAGGCACACCCATCTTCTTCATCCACCCCAGGAATGCTGGGATGGATGTCACTGTGTTTCCTGGGAATCCTCAGGTCACAGAGGGTGTCATTACTGAAAGAAAAGTGTAGACAGAGGCAAGAACTGCCATAGAGGCGGCTATAAGCAAACAAGGGTGCATGCCTACAACACACACACACACACACACACACACACTTTGGGAAAGGAGAGATCAAAAAATCCAAGCATCCCAAATCAAAATAAACAGTGTTCAGAAATGAGGAGGCTTTCAGAAAGGAAGTGGAAACTGGGTCTTCATGGGTGGTTTTCCTCCCCTCCCAATTGTCCCCACTGACCCCTCGCTGCCCCTCAACAAGCCACAGTCATCACTGGCTGGGATTTAACCAGGGAGCTCTCCTGGTCCTTCATTATTCCAGGGCTGCAGCAGCAGAAGTGGGGCCTGGGGAGTTCTCTGTGGTTTGGATCTTCTCAGTAATAACTCCTCTGAGAGCTGGGTTTCCAGAACAGGTGCTTGGGTCACCTGAGGCTCCTTCAACCATCACTGCCATCTCACCCTGCCCTGTCTCCTTCCCCCCAACTGCATCTCTGGAGGAACACTTTACATCCAGCAGGAGGCTGGACAAGTGCTGAGAGGCCAGAGTCATCTCTGGCCACTGGGTCTTTGACTTCTTGTTGATGCTGCTGCTAGAGGAGAATTCCAAGGCCTTCGTTTATTCCCAGGCCCTCTCTCATGATAGCAGTTTTCCATTTTCCTCTTCTCCCTGGTGGCAGCATTATCATGTGACTCCTTGTAATCCTGAACCGTTGCCTGGAAACTGGAAAGCGAGGTGATGGATTTTTGCACATGCTCACTCATTCCCCCATCCCCTTTAAAGAGAAACCCTACAGCGGATGGTCAGCCCACCTGGCCCAAGTGTAGGCAAGTTTAATAAAGCAGAGAATGGTCCTTTTCTGGAATCATGTACTGGGCTGAAATCCTAGAATACCAGAAAGCAAGGCTAAGGGCTCTGTGGGAGGCATCCAGCCAGATCTCTGACCCTTGTCAGCACCACAAAAACTATTGTGGAGGGGAAGTTGCACCACCTGGGATCTCAGAGGTGTCAAGACCCAGGATATTGCTCTAAGATTCAGGAACTCTTTTATTTCTTGGGAAAAGTGCCACCTTATACAATGTACCTTTGTTTAGAGGGGAAGAAAGAAACAAGGGTGACTTTTCCTGAGACTGGTCTACCTGACCACTCTGAGTACCATTTATTTGTTCATCTGGAGATAGAGGAAACGTCCGCTCAAAGGCTGTTGTGAATGTAAGCAATAAGGCAAAAGTACCACATAATCTTGGCACATAAGATGTATTCACAACACAATAGTTATTTTTGCACAGTCATCCTGCTCTCTCAATAGACTGTTCTCCTTTTGGAGAGAAACCCTCATATTAGTTTATTTTGTGCCACAGTGACACAGTGTATGGCTGAAGAAACTTGAAGGATGAAAGATTTGTCTTGGCTCACAGTTTTGGTTCACCGTGGCAAGAAGTCCCAGCGGGAGAAGCTCAGTTCTTGGCAGTGGGAACATGTGGAGGTGGTCATTTACGTCACAGTAGGCCAGTAAGTAGAGACAGTGCAATGAAAACCAAGGGCCTGGTATAGCCTTCCTCTAGTGACCTACCTCCAGCTGTGCCCTATTACCAGAGGTTCTACAGCCACCAACTGGAGGTAAGTGCTCAAAACATGGGGGGGACATTTCACATTCAAACCCTAACACTGCCCAACCTCTGAGCAAAGATATCTTCCAATTAGGAGTTAATTGTGACCCCAGGAAGTCCTATAGACGAGCCAAAGGAGGCCATGATGATTTGCCTTCATAGTCAACTGGGTTTGGAATCACCTAGGAGACACATCATTGAGTGGAGGATCC